AAAGACTCTGAAGAAATTTTCATCTATCCGAGAGAATGCTGTTTTCGGCCCTCCGTTTTCTCCTTAGCAGCATAACTTGGAATGTACAAGGATATTTATGTCCTGAAAAATAAGCTATCCTTTCAATATCATTTTTATAACCTTGTGATTGAATCAAAGCTATACGAGGGCATGACTCAGATATGCAGGTATTTGACTGACTGAGGCCAGCAAGGGAAATCATTTTCTTCAGTGCGCCCAAAGAGATAAGAAATCTTCACCAACGTCAGTGACTCCTCATTTTCCAAAAATCCACATTGCAATTATTACCTCGCAGTAGGAAGAATTCTAGAAGTTCAGGTTCAAAGAACATTGCCACCGAAATCAGGCTTATTTCCAGAATATCATCACTTTTCAATGCCATCTGATCGGTCACCCAACTCCTGAACTTATTGATCCTGGGCTGATAACAGATTTCCCCATGGCTCAAATCTACTCATCCAGAGAAGATAACACGCGAAAATGCAAGTCTTGTTCTGGAGGAATTCGGAAGAGGAAGTAGTGTGGTTACATCATGAGTTGAAAGAAGTGAGAGTCATTGCATGTCCTGGAGATCTGAGGATGCATCCTTCAGGTCCTGGGTCCTCAAGTTCTTTGCTTTAGTCACAATGGTTCATAGCCCTTTTCCCCTCTGACTCTGAGGCACTAAATAGCTTCACTATCTCTAAACAAAGACTGGTCCCAATGCAGACCCTCCTGTCTTTTTTATAGCATTGCCCTGACAGATAATCAACAGAAAACACCTGCAGACCACATATGCAAACACTCAAACTTACGTTCCCTGACCAACCTCTCTGACCAGCCTGTCTCCCCAACAACCTATGCTAGAACATAGCTCGTGCCCAGAAAATGGGTGGTGACACCTCATTGCATCGATATCAGAAAATGGGCAACGAATGTACCCATGCAATTGAATGTATCTCATTCTTCACTGGCACAGACAATATCAATTATCCCTTTCCTGCCTCTTACTGCCTTATCCTGGAAACAGTAGGGAAAATAAGCCATACCCGTGAGACTTACCCAAAAACAAAGTAATGAAAGTCACTGTGAAAGTTAAGTGGACTCTTTATTTTTTCTTTTTCTTTTTCTTTTTTTTTTAAGCCAGATGGAGCATAACTAGCCCAGAAGTCAAGATGCCTGAGTTCTAGTTTGTGCTCCGTCAGCTGATAGATTTGTGACTTGAGGTCTTGGTTTTCTCGCCTAGAAGTCATGACCTCTCAAATCATTCCCACCTTTAATATTGTACGAACTTCAGGGGAGAAAAATCTGGTTCTTTTCATGGTTTTTCTTTCATATTCAAATTTCTACCTTTTAAAAAAAAAAAAAAGTACAGCCCAAATTACAGTTAAAGAACATCTATCTATTTGGTATGAATTCAAATTAAGAATTCAACACAATACTAATTAGCTATTTAGTGGAAGGCAGGACGGTCTTGAAAAAAGAAGAGGAACGGCACTGAAAATTCCAAGTATGAGTGGAAATAACCTTGGGGGTAGGGGTGGGAATTATATGTTTAATGCACTAAAGCAATTATACTGGCTTCTAGGGAAAAAAAATAACATCTCTATGGAACTTGTTAATCACAGAAAGGTGAAGAGATTAAAATTCTAAGCATGAAGTTCATGGGCAGGTTACCTGCTTTGACTTTTATCTACAGATGGTTTTTTTGGTTTTGTTTTTTCTAGGCAGCCTGTCTAACCAGTCTCCTTAAAGTGCTTGCTTTGTTAACATCTCTGCTTCCTCTGTTGATTCTCATTGGAGAACTACTCTTTGAAATATAGACACCTAGCCACCTCTATGTCCCAGGGTAACCCTGAGAAGCTCTGCTCTGTGGGGTTTTCCTTATAAAGAGAATGAGAGGAAGGCAAGCGCAAAGGCTCCTCGGTAGGTTCATAGAATCCTAGGGTAGCAAGCCTTCTGGAGAAAGTGTCCTCATTTCGTTGGACAGATATCCAGATTCAAATGTAAGTTCAGAGGCTGATCTCAAGCTCCATCAGAAGGCTTTGGAGAAGAACCACGATCGGGAATTGGCCAAATAGCACAGTCTATCTCCAGTAATCCAGCCAGCCCCAGATAAAGGAACACATGAAGCTTGGCTCCTTTCAGGAGTGCTTCAAACAGACAGACTGCTGGTCTGAAGACAGTGTGGGAGGCCAAACATCTACGGCAGAGGCGAACAAACACTGGAGTACTTCAGGTTAAAAGGAAAGGCTGCAAAGACTCAAAGGGTCCTGACCCAGGAGGTCAAAGCGACTCAACTTACTTCTGAAAGTGGCAGAGATACTCAGTGCATCTCAAGACTCCATCTCATAAAACTCGGTTGTGAGGGATTTTTTTCTGGATTTAAAAAAAAAATTCCTGGTGTTGCCTGGACTCTCAAATTATGTACGTATCTGATGGAAACACCCTCCATACCTGCCCCCCACAGTGGGGAGAGATCCCAGCAGAGCACGCCATGCACCACTGGGATTCTGACTTAAAAATCACTTCACTCTTACGGATGATCGTCGGGGGTGTGAGTGTGTGTGCGCGTGCGAGCGTGTGTGTAACCCTCAAGTGTACTTTACTCTTCCATGTAGACGTGCAGTAGTTCCCAAAATAGTGAAAAGTAAGATCTTCCCTTCTTTGTTCTTCTGCTCAAAACACGACGTGCCGCCTCAGAGTTTTTCTAGTTCTATGAGCCTTGGTCCTCAACGACGCGCTTGACGTGTTGATGCCTCTGCCCAGCGCTGCCACCTCACTTGTGCCCCGAGTGACACCTCTTCAGTCTGCAGTGCAGTCGCCGCAGTCGACCGCCAGGCCTGGCTCCGTGAACAGGTATCCGAGCTGTGGCCCTCCCTGACACTGAGCCCCATTCCCCACCCACAGACTCAGCCTCCGTGGAAAGCTGAGCACCCTCAAAGCATGTCATCGTCAGTGAGACATTTTTATTCTATGGAACTCTAACCTATTCGTGTCATATTGACCTTTTGCTGCATGAGTCATAAATTATGAAATTGGTCTTATGGTTTTTGAAATGTAGCCAGCGTTTGTAAGGCTAAACCTTTTTCATGAACTGAATTGAAGTGAATCACCAGGTCACAGGTCCTCTTCAAAAGGAGAGTGATGACATTCAGATCTCTTCGCCCTTTCTAACGGCTATGGCATCAGGTTCTAAAATAAGCTCGTAATTTTTCCTGTTATTTTAATAATACGGAAATATTAGCATAGTGTTTCTTTTGATAGTGATAGACTATAATCCATATTTAAATTTTATAGAGAAGAAATTTTATTGTACTGTGATGTAGATATTTATTATCCAGGTAAGGATTTGCCCGGTGTGTATTTTTTACAATTGAAACATTTTACCTTAATCTTAAAAAAAAAAATACATTAAACACACATACACACACACACAAAAAAAAAAAAAAAAAAAAAAAAAAAAAAAAGAAAGTTGGCCTTATCACAGAATTTTTACTGTGTTGTATAAATGTTTGCAGATGCAAAAAGTGTGCATTTCTAGTGTGTTTCCACATTAATTAATGCAGCCTTCAAGAGCAATATCGTGCAGGTAAAACGCTGTTTGTGGCTTTTCTGTTGCACAGTTAAAGCTGACCCAACTTATGCACAAGACAATCAGCTATAACTCTGTCCTTCTCAGGATGCAGAAAATGCTCCTGGACATTACGGAGCACAAAATAAGACGAAGGAAGACATATCACACGTGTCTGGTGGACATCGAAGCTTTCAGGGCATGAATCCGCTGACATCACGTTACCGCCACTTCTCTCTTCGGGTCCTTCCTCATTAACGTGGCATTTTTAATTTCATCATCGAGCCCAATTAGTTCTCCATGCTTTCTTCAGAGAAAACACTTGTTCTTTCCATAATGTTGTCATGCCCTGAGAATTAGAAACGAACACTGTAGAACAGGAAAGGGTGTACAGTCATTGGAAGAGTTGTGTGTGGTGAACAGTGTCAAGTGATATTGCTAGATTGGTAACATTTTTTTTTTCAGCCTAAAACTCTGTTGAAATCTGTGATCAAAATGTTTTAAACTATCCAAAACAGAAAAATTTGTATATTTGGGAAAAATGGATTTTTACATAGCTTTTGTATGCAGATATTAAATTGTAATTATGAATAGAGTGGGCATAGATAAGCTCATAAGCTTAAATTCTAAAAAAGAAAAAAGCTTATAACAGATATACTTTTCTGTCTCTTTCTTTAAGTATTATTATTTCCTTTATTTATTTTTTTTAGAAGTTTTTGCTATTGGGTACATGTGCTTGCCAGAGAGATAGAAATGAGACATCCCCCCCCCCATCCCGGGGGGGATGGCCACACCAGAACTCCTTCTCTTCCAATCTCCACTCGGGATTTTGGGCTCGCACACACACATACCTAATGTATGTTTTAAGCTGCCAGGTCTGGGACTCAAACCACAGTCGACTCTGTGGGAGTCCAGCAACGTAACCACTACGCCATCTGCTGGTCCCTAAATATTATAGACATCACCCCCCCCATCCCGGGGGGGATGGCCACACCAGAACTCCTTCTCTTCCAATCTCCACTCGGGATTTTGGGCTCGCACACACACATACCTAATGTATGTTTTAAGCTGCCAGGTCTGGGACTCAAACCACAGTCGACTCTGTGGGAGTCCAGCAACGTAACCACTACGCCATCTGCTGGTCCCTAAATATTATTATTTTCTAAATAGGCACAGAGTGACCTTCTCATTTCAGCTGCTGCCAAAGG